GTCTCGATCTCTTGACCTCGTGATCCACCCGCCTCGGCCTCCCAAAGTGCTGGGATTACAGGCTTGAGCCACCGCGCCCGGCCCCCACTACGCATTATTTGTATTGAAACATCAGTATGTACCCCATGAGCATGTAAAATGATGTCAATTAAAGAAATAAACAAAAATAAAATAAAACTTTATTCGTAATTGCCTAAACTTGGAAGCAACTATGATGTCTTTCAACAGGTGGATGTATACACTGTGGTACAACCAGACAACAGAATATTATTCAGTGCTAAAATGAAATGAGCTATTAAACCAGGAAAAGGCAGGAAGAACCTTAAATTCCTAAGTGAAGGAAGCCAATCTGAAAAAGCTCTATACTATATGATTCCTACGATGTGACAACGTGGAAAAGGCAAAACTGTGGAGACAGTACAAAGATCAGTGTTTGCCAAGGGTTAGTGAAGAGGAAGGGGTGAGTAGGCAGAGCACAGAGGGTTTTTAGGCAGTGAAACTATTCTATATGACAATGATAGATGCATGCCATATACATTCGTCAAAAGCAATAGAATAGGCTGGGCGCAGTAGCTCACACCCATAATCCCAGCGTTTTGGGAGGTCAAGGTAGGTGGAGCACCTGAGGTCAGGAGTTCAAGACCAGTCTGGCCAACATAATGAAACCCTGTCTCTACCAAAAATATTTCTAAAATTAGCCGGGTGTGGTGGCGCATGCCGGTAAGCCCAGCTACTCAGAAGGCTGAGGCAGGAGAATCGCTTGAACTCAGGAGGTGGAGGATGCAGTGAGCCGAGATCATGCCACTGTAGCCCAGCCTAGGTGACAGAGTGGGACTCCATCTCAAACAGCTCTATAGAATATGTTTATTTATTTAATTTATATGATTTTTTTTAGACAGGGTCTTGCTCTGTCACCCAGGCTGGGATGCAGTGGCGCGATCTCAGCTCATGCAACCTCTGCTTCCCCGGTTCAAGCGATGCTCCTACTGCAGCCTCCTGAGTAGCTGGGATCACAGGTACGCTACCATACCCAGCTAATTTTCGTATTTTTTGTAGATACAGGATTTTGTCATGTTGGCCAGGCTGGTCTCAAACTCCTGGGCTCAAGTAATCTGCCCACCTCGACCTCCCAAAGTGCTGGGATTACAGGTGTGAGACACCCTGCCTGGCCAAAAAACTATAGAATATACGAATCCTAATGTAACCTACCAACTTTGAATGACAATGAAGTCTCAGTGTGGTTTCATTGACCATAACAAATATACTGGCTGGTGTGGGATGACGATGGTGGGGGAAGCTGTGTGTGCTATTGGGGACAGGGGGTTATGAGAACTCTCTGCACTTGCCACTCAATTTTGCTGTGAACCTAAACTGATCTAAAAAAAAAAAAAAGAAGAGGAAAATCTATTAAAAGTGCTTAAAATGGTAAATTTTGTTATGTACATGTTATGATAATAAAAAAGAATGTTCAGGCCAGGCACAGTGCCCCACGCCGTAAATCCCAGCACTTTGGGAGACTGAGGAGGGTGGCTCATCTCTACTAAAAATACAAAAATTAGCTGGGGTGGTGATGCATGCCTGTAGTCCCAGCTACTCGGGGGGCTGAGGCAGGAGAATCGCTTGAATTTGGGAGGCAGAAGTTGCGGTGAGCCAAGATCTTGCCACTGCACTCCAGCCTGAGCGGATAATTTTGTTGTATTTTTAGTAGACATGGGGTTTCCAGCATGTTGCCCAGGCTGGTCTTGAACTCCTGATCTCAGGTGATCTGCTGGCCTCAGCCTCCCAAAGTGCTGGGATTACAAGCATGAGCCACCACGCCTGGCCTCTATGTCAATTTTTAAAATATGTGTATATATATACATACATATACATGATTGCACATTCCTGTACACATATTCACATATACATATACATACCACTCTGGAATGAGGATACTCTTAATTCTGGAGCGTTCTAATTCTGGTTCTGCTACTCACTAGGTTTATGACTCTAAATAGGTTCCTGTACCCACCGAGCCTCAGCTTCCTTGTCTGTAAAATGGGGATAATAGTATCTTAAACAGTCAACAAAGATATATGTCAGTGCTGGCTGGCAGCACATGTTGATTCAGTGGTTGCTGGTAAATATTCTTCTTGCTGCTGCTCCCTTTGGTGACTGATCCTAGAGTATCTGCAAGGAGGAGGGGGTCCATGGAGAGGGCCAATCTAAACTGATAAGCAGGCTGGGCTTGGTGGTCTCAGTTCTAGACCAGCCTGGCCAACATGGAGAAACCCCGGCTCTACTAAAAATACAAAAATTAGCTGGGTGTGGTGGCGCATGCCTATAATCCCAGCTACTCAGGAGGCTGAGGCAGGAGAATGGCTTGAACCCGGGAGGGAGAGGCTGCCATGAGCTGAGATTTCGCCACTGTAGTCCAGGCTGAGTGAAATGCCATCTCAATAAATAAATAAATAAATAAATAACTGATAAGCAGAACACGCTCATCTTGCAAACTGCTGCAAAGGGGAGCGGGTGAGGGTAGGGTGGGGTGGGGTGCTGTACGTGCCAGGCTTGCCTGGTGGATGGATGGGGAGCTAACCTGCCCTGGGCCTCCTGGGGAAAAAGGGCAATTGTGGGGTCATGAATATTGAGCTGGGAAATGAGCTGGGAAGGATCCCTAGATAGCAGGGCCTCTCACCATCACTGGGCAATCGAGACGACCGTAAAACTTTAAACACCTTCTCAGGCGGGCAGTGCTGGGCTGGGGAGCTGGCCCCTGAGGTCGATGAAGGTCGCTGACGGGTGAATCTCCTTCTGGGGGAAGCCCCGTGGCTTCAGGAGGCCCAGCTGTATTCCAGCAGAGTGAGTGAGAAAATGCCAGCAAGCACAACAAAACCCCAAATCCCACATAACCCCACCACTCCCAGAAGCCCTGTGGTGATGAACTGGGGAACGCAAGAGGGCAGGCTGTTCGGTTCAAACCCTGTATTTGTCCCTTTGTGGATGTGTGACCTGCGGCGGGTCCCTGTGCCTCTCTGGGTCTCAGTTTCCCCATCTGTAACACGGTGGGGAACTATAATGGCACCTAGCTCAAAGGTTTGCTGCTGCTGGGATGCAAGGAGGTAGGGTGGGTGGTCCATCCTTGAGCAAAGGTCCGGGGAGAGAGTAGGCTCGGTCATTTGTTGGCCGCAATGAGAACCCCGCTCGCCCGCGTCCTGTGGGACTACCACCGGAAGTAGCGCGAGTTGGGGCGTTTTAGCGGAGACACTCACGGGGCAATCTGAGGTAAACCAAGAGACTGTGACGAAGGGACCGGAAGCGCCAGGCAGGGACCCGGGGTAAATGCCACATCCAAACTCAAACGCACAGGGCAGGATGGTTGAAGCAGCGGCGGGACCTCTGAGCTCTTTAAACTGTCTCAGCCTTCCTCGTGGGCTCGGCTGCTTCTCCACGACCTCCGAGCAGAAGAGGGGCTGGCGTTTAAGTCAAAGGCCTTGGGGTTCCGAGTCCCTCCTTCTTCCCGTGCTGTGAAGGCGTGACCCATTTCAGCTGTCTGTAAAGTGGGGCCATTAGTCCCTGCCTCGTGGTGGGAAAACTGGGAGACTGAACCAGGAGGCCGCCGCTCCCACCCTGGCTCGGGAACATCTCTGTCCGCAGATCGTTTCCTGGCGAGGTGCGCCTTCGTTCTTTTCCGCCCTTTGGAACATAGAGCGGCCCCTTGGCCTCCAGTTCCGCGCCTCCCGCAGTTGGAGGCGTGCCCGGAAGTGCCCCTAAGGCAGCCCGGAGGGCCGCGGGCGCTCCACTATGGCGACGGCGGGGGCTCCGCGGCGCTTTTGCCGCTGCGCCTGTTTCTGCACCGAGAACTTGTACGTGGCGCGCTACGGATTGCACGTGCGCTTTCGGGGCGAGCAGCAGCTGCGCCGGGACTACGGCCCGGTGAGTGGCCGCTGTCGCCCCTCCGGAGCAGTGGGCAGAGAGAGGCAGTGGAGGAGGGCGGTCCGTCCCCAGGGTCGTTTGCTTTGCGCACGGCGCGCACCGCATCCTCAAATACAAGAAGGACGGCCTCTCTGTGCCTCAGTTTTCTCACTTCCCTGCGAGGTCGTGAGGAAGGAAAGGGTGCTTAGGACAGGGCCGGGCTCAGCACGCCGCCTCATAGCAATACCAGCCCGAGCCCTGCCCTGAGCTTAACGAGGTTCCGCAGTTTATCCTCGCCATGATCCTTTGACGTCAGGGCTCCTCTCCCCATTTTAAGCAGGGGAAACTGAGGCTTAGAGTGAAGGTGCTTCCTAGGGTCACACAGTCATGCTCAGTGTTCTTTCTGCTTCCAGATCCTGCGCAGCCGAGGCTGTGTCAGCACCACGGACTTCCAGCAGCTGTTAGCTGAGGTGCCGGCCCCTGCCCCTGCGCAGCAGCTCCTCGTTAGATTTGTGTTAGCAGCTTGAGGGGTCTTCTAGCCTCAGTCCGTGACCCCTGAAGGATCACTTAGGCCCTCACTTTCCTCCTTCCTGTCCCCACTCGCTCCTCCACACCTGGGTCTTGGCAGCAGGAGAGAGAAGGGGAAATGTTAAGTTGCCTAGTCATGCCCCTCCGAACAGCTCTTTGAGATAAGCACAAGCACCACCCTCATTTTGGATTGAGAAGCTGAGGCTTAAAGAGGAATCCCTTGCCCAAGCTTTTACAGCAGGAGCAGATGCGAACCCAGCCAGGGCTTCCAGGCCCCTGGGCTCCTCACACTCCCACATACCCCGAAGACTGGTGCCAGGGCTGCTGCTTTGCTCCCTCCTTCTCCTTCCCCTGGAGTCAGTGGTGGGAAGCTTCCCAGCAGAGTTCTCAGCAGCCTTGGGAACACAGAACTTGGCCATGACCATTTCCCTCCCCTATGTGGGCCCAGCTGGTTGAGGTACATCCAGGGGTTCTTATCCCAGCCAGGCTCAGGTTGGGGCAGCCTGAAACAGGACGGGTCTCCCAGAAGTCCCCTTCAGCTAACAGTCTGCAACTTGCAGTCCACCCAGATAGATTCAGGAGTTTAGGTTAGACCTGGCTTCCAGGCTGGGCCCTGTCTGGCATTCCTGGGCTTCAGTTTCTTCATCTGTACAGTGGCCTCAGGAGGATGGGAGGCCCCACCTGATAACAACCCTGTGCCACCCCAGCTTGAGCAGGAGGTGGAGCGGCGGCGGCGGCTGGGGCTGGAGTCAGCTGCTAGGAAAACCCTCATTGCAAGTTCCTACCGCGTGGCACGGCCTGAGGTGTACAACTCACTGCAGGTACCAGCCAGGCAGGGTGCTTGAAGTCTGGGTACTGGAAGGAGGAGGTAGCATCGGGGGCTGCGGGGCTGCCTGCCCCACAGCTGGTATGTTCTGCTCCCAGGATGCAGCTCTGGCTCCCGAGTTTCTGGCTGTGGCTGAGTACAGCGCATCCCCGGGCGCAGACCTCAAGGGCCTTCTCCAGCGGCTGGAGGCAGTATCTGGTGAGGTCCTAACCCTGAGACCTGGCAGGACCGGGGGATGGTAGCCTGGAAAACCTAGGTGTGGGAGATGGGGGTCCCTTCAGCCACCATCTCCGCCTCCAAAAACCGAACCAGCAGGAGCTGGAAGGGTCAGTGGGACCAACCTGCCAGGAGAAGGACATCTGCGTTCATTCATTCATTCAGTACCGGCCATGAGCCTGGTATCTTCATTCCTTCCTTCATGTGCTCATCCAGCAAATAGTGGGTATTTGTGTCATGGGCAGGACAGCTGGCACACTCAAACAGGGCTGATCCAAGATCTTAAAGAAGGGACCAGTAAGGAATGGCTAAGCCCCACCCCCAGAGCTGGCAACAGGAAGGAGCAGCTACCACCTGGAGCTGTGGCTCTGGGCAGAGGTCTACAGCCATGCCAAACTCCAGCGAGGGCAAGAAATTTCCTATTTCTCCTCTTACATTCAGATTTTCTGCTGGGCTCCCCTATTGGCTAAGCCCAACAACAAATACTGGGCAAGGGAGGCTTGCATGTTGTTTAACCTCTGTGACTCAGTTTCCTCATCTGTAAAATGGGAGCAACAGTAACCCCTTCTCTTAACGCACTGTGACGATCAAGTGAGTTAATCTGCATAGAGTACCTACCACAGGACCCACACTATTCTTATTAGCACTGATATCCTGGGCTAGGGGAACCTGTGGGAGACAGATACAAGTTTCCCGTCATGGAGCCTGTGCTTTGTTGAGGGCATAGGTGGAATGAACTCCCCCTCCCAGCCTAGGGGTGCCTTCCTCATTGCCTTGTATGCCCTGGCAGCTGAGACTGTGCTGAGGCCGTTTGGCTGGTGCAGGGCCCAGGCTGTGAGGTGGCCCCGTGAGGGGCACACTAGCCCTGCATCCCTGGGAATTGGTGCATCTGCCAAGAAATGTTTAGTTTCCATTCTCAGCCTGGCTTCTCCCAGGGCCCAGCAAGAGAGAGCAGCCCCTCCTGGCCTTCCTGCTGGGGAACAGATTCCCAGAGCCACTTCTGAGTGGGGTACAGACGTTGGTGGCTCATCAGGTGAAAGGAAGTACAGAGAGAGCCTGAAGTTGGCTCTGTGGTCCCAACTTGGCTGTCACTGGCCTTCTGCTCTCTGGGCCTCAGGACCCATCTGAGTGCTCTGGGGGCCAGCCCTGTGGACACTTGTGGAGTCTGGGGAGAGGTTGCAGGCATGGGTGCAGGGCGTGGGAGTCGGCCTCCCCTGTTCCTCACCCTACTTCCTTTAGTAATCACAACAGCCCTGAGAAGCGAGAGCCTCATCCCCATGGCACAGGTGATGAAACTGAGGCTGTGGGCAGTGAACAGACGCCCGGACTCACACGGCTCACAGGAAGACTGAGGCCCAGGCCTGGCCAGCCCATGGCAGCATTCAGGCCAACAGACCGTCCCTCCATCCACAGAGGAGAAGCGCATCTACCGGGTGCCAGTGTTCACAGCGCCCTTCTGCCAGGCCCTACTGGAGGAGCTGGAGCACTTCGAGCAGTCTGACATGCCCAAGGGGAGGCCCAACACCATGAACAACTACGGGGTGGGTGAGGCCTGGCCAGCGGGCCAGAGGAGGGGCAGCTGCGGTCAGGAGGCAGTGTGTTAGGTGCTACAGATGGGCTGCCTGCCCAGGCTGCGAAATAAGGTTACAGTGGGATTGAGGCAGAGCAGAACCCCAGGGTTGCAGCCTCCCAGTTTTCCTGACCCCAGGAATCCCCTCCCAGGTGCTGCTGCACGAGCTCGGGCTGGACGAGCCGCTGGTGACCCCACTGCGGGAGCGCTTCCTGCAGCCGCTGATGGCCCTGCTGTACCCTGACTGTGGCGGGGGCCAGCTCGACAGCCACCGGGCTTTTGTGGTCAAATACGCCCTGGGCCAGGATCTCGAGCTGGGCTGCCACTATGATAATGCCGAGCTCACCCTCAATGTGGCCCTGGGCAAGGTCTTCACAGGGGGTGCCCTGTATTTCGGGGGCCTCTTCCAGGTGAGTGTGTGTCCCATGGGGTAGGGCCTGGGGCAGTGTGAGGGCCCAGGCCTAAGCCATGCCATCTGCAGGCACCCACAGCCCTGACAGAGCCCCTGGAGGTGGAGCACGTGGTAGGCCAGGGCATCCTGCACCGGGGTGGCCAGCTGCATGGGGCCCGGCCCTTGGCCACTGGAGAGCGCTGGAACCTCGTCATCTGGCTCCGTGCCTCTGCTGTGCGGAACCGCCTCTGTCCTATGTGCTGCCGTGCGCCTGATCTGGTGGACGACGAGGGCTTCGGCGATGGCTTCACCCGAGAGGGGCCTGCCACAGTGGATGTGTGTGCACTCACCTGAGCCTACTTGGACCCAGTGTGGGGGTGGCAGGGCAGGTGAGGGCTCTGTCACGGGCTGGCGGCAGAAATTAACTCCCTGCAGCCTACTGCACTTCTTGGTTCAAGGATGTGCCAGATTCTGGGTTATCCTCTGGGTCAACAGGCTGCTTTAGTTCAGGTTTGTTGGAAGCGGAGTCTGGAATGAGGCTTCAGTGAGGGAGTGAGGAAAGCAGGGGAGGGCAGGGAGCAGCTGGGCAAGGAAGTGGCTTCAGAGGAAGTCCAGCCTCAGCTGGGCCCTCGGGGAGCTTCAGGTAGAGCCCACAGTACTGCAGTGTGCCCACAGCATTGGTTAGTGGCTCCTGGGTGAGGGAGGGATGAGTAACTTCCCAGACACTTATCTCCAGGGCAGGGTGGCTTCCAGTGGCCAAGGGAAGCCTCCAGAGACAGCGCAGTTGTGAATTCTTGGCAGCAGAGACATCACCCCCAGTGGACTCGGGTGGACCACTAGTAGCATCTTCTAGATGGCAGAGGGGTGAATGGCAGGGCCGGGAGCCAGGCTGCCCAGGTTCCCATTCTGCTTATGCCACTTCCACACTTTGTGTGGCTTTGAGTGAGCCTTCACCTTTTGGTGCCTTGGTTTCCTCATGTGGAGAGCACCTACCTCCTAGAGCTGTTCTGAGAGTCAAATGCGCAGACGTTAATAAAGTGCTTTGCAAAGAGCCCTCTGTGTTTGCAGCTGTCACTGTAAAAGAGTTACACCTTGGGGGCCCGAGATCGGATGAAGCCACAGCGACGCTTTGGGTTGCACATTTGAAAACCAGGGGGCTTCCATACTGCAGTCTTGAGTTCGGTCTCCCTGGGAAGGTGGGGCGCTAGCCCCTTGCCATGTTGCACGGATCAGACGGAGCGGAATCCCGGCTTCCCTCCGGACGCGCCTGGGGTCCATGCCCGCGGCTCACGACCAAGATCTCTCTGGCCCCTACGGACACGAGTTTGCGATCCCTGAATCACTGGGTGGGTACGTCGGAAAGACTAGGGTGCCTCAGCTCAGAGCTCGCAGTTTGATGGAGAGGACAGGACCAGCGGGGGAGGAGAGCGGCGCGCGCAAGGGTCGACTTCTTCCCAGGGCACCAGGGACGCGAGTGCTGCGGGCGCGTGCCGAGAGGACAGCCTTGGAAGCGGGCTAAGCTTCGGCAGAGACAGACGTGAGGGGCTACGGAGCTCGAGGGCCGGCGACAGGCTGCAGAGCACGGCCTCGCCCCGGCGACCACGCTCGCCTCTGCAGGAGGTGGGCACGCCCGAAAGGGAACCTGGGGCGTCAGAACGAAAGGGAGTGGCGCCGCGCTTCCCGGCCGGACAGCCTCCCGCGCAGCGCCCCGGCCGGAAGCCTTCTCGCCGCCGCTTCCTCTCCAGAAGACGCGGGGCGGGCGGTACGGCCCGCAGCGTGGCCGAGGTGGGAGTGAAACAGCCCAGGGGGCCTCCTTGAGGCAGCGAGGCCGCGAGGGGCGCGGGGCTGGTGGGTAGGAGCGCGCGGGAAGGCGCCCCAGACGCCACTTGCGGCGGATGGCGGCCAGTTCCCACGGGCCCCGAGCCGGGTGCGGAGGCGTGGGGCGCTCGGGCGGGGGCGGGCCCTTAATAGGGGCCGCTGCGGGGACTGGAGTCGGCGGAGAAGCCGGGGTCCCCAGCGGTGGGGGTGGGTGAGGGTCGCACATTTTCCCAGGGTGGTGACGGGTACCCGGCGCCGCGAGGTCCCGGCCCCGCTAGAGCCCGCCCGCGGTTGGCCTGCTGGGCCCTGGCTCAAGAGCGTTCTTCCCGTCGCCAGCCCGTAGCGCCATGGCTCACGTGGGCTCCCGCAAGCGCTCGAGGAGTCGCAGCCGGTCCCGGGGGCGGGGGTCGGAAAAGAGAAAGAAGAAGAGCAGGAAGGATGCCTCAAGGAACTGCTCGGCCTCCGAATCCCAAGGTCGCAAGGGCAGCGCGGCCCTTGGGGCGGAGGGTGAGGACCACCGGCATCGGGGAGAGGAGGCGTGGCCACTTCCCGGGGAAGTCGGGGCGAGCCGGGATCGGGGCCTCTCAGTCTTGCCTCTGTGCAGCCAGGTCTGAGATGTGAGGGCCAGGCGCCCCGGGAGCCGGGAAGGGACTCCTCCAGGAAGCTCCATCTCTGCTCTGGAAAGCCCCGCAGGAGGTGCCCACCCTGTAGACTGCCTGCCCCAGGCCAGAGCAGGGGACGAAGGTTTACTTCTTCCCCTCCCAGCCTTCCAGCCTCACCTTCTCCCTGCATCACAGAGAGAAGCAAGCACAAGGCCCGGAGGAGACCACGATCCAGCTCCTCCTCCTCTTCTTCCAGTTCTTCTAGCTCTTCTTCCTCCTCGTCCTCCTCCTCTTCCTCCAGTGGTGGCCGGAAGAAGCGGGGGAAGCACAAGGACAAGAAGAGGAAGAAGAAGAAGAAGAGGAGGAAGAAGCTGAAGAAGAAGGGCAAGGAGAAGGCGGAAGCACAGCAGGTGGAGGCTCTGCCGGGTCCCTCACTTGACCAGTGGCACCGATCAGCTGGGGAGGAAGAGGATGGCCCAGGTACAGTACAGCCCAGAGCCTGAGAGGGAGAAGGTCCCTCCTGGAGGCCTGGCCACCACCTCCATCTTCCCTTCCAGTCCTGACAGATGAGCAGAAGTCCCGAATCCAGGCCATGAAGCCCATGACCAAGGAGGAGTGGGATGCCCGGCAGAGTGTCATCCGCAAGGTGGTGGACCCCGAGACGGGACGCACCAGGTGGGGAGCCCTTGGTCTGAGTTAACACCTTGGGGTCTGGCAGTGTTGGCCTAAGATGTGTGCTTTCAGGAGTAGCCGGGCCGGGGCGGGGTTGCTGCTGCTTGAAAAAAGCCAAGTGTTGGCAAAAAGACACTTGTGATGTGTGTCTCAGCCCTACTTCCCCGTTGCCCAGAGTAAACAGTTGCAGAGGCTGGAAGGGCCTGGAGAACGCTCTTAAAAGGGCTGTTGTTGGCCAGGCTGAGGCTGGCAAGGCAGAGCCCACCTCGGCTGTTTTCATCCATGCCCAAAGATGATAGAGCAGGCGGGAACCCTGGGACCCCTATGCCAGCTGCTTCTGGTTTTGCTGCTCTGGCATTAGGGGACCTGCCTATTCTTTGCTGAATGGAGACCCTCCCACCCTCAGGCTTATTAAGGGAGATGGCGAGGTCCTAGAGGAAATCGTAACCAAAGATCGGCACAGAGAGATCAACAAGGTGGGTGTGGCCCCTCTGCCTGCCCTCCACCCCCAGCTCTGTTTGTGATGTCCCCCTCCTCCTGTGTGCTTTTTTCCCCAGCAAGCCACCCGAGGGGACGGCCTGGCCTTCCAGATGCGAGCTGGGTTGCTTCCCTGAGGGCCCTGGCTGGCTAAGGCCTGTGGACAGTGCTGGCAGCCCAGCCTGGGCAGGCCTCAGGGTGGCAATGGGAAGCCTGATGGGTGCTGGTGGCCTTTCCTCCATGGATTGGCCTCTGGCCCAGCCCAGCCTCTTCTCAGGGGCAGGGGGTGGAGGATGGGGTTACTGGCCTGCTCAGCACTCCCATCTGAAAGAGCAGTGCTTCACAGCTATTAAAGTCTCCCTGGTTTGAAACTTTCTCTGTTCTGTGGCTTTTTGTACTGAGGGGGAGGGAAGGGTGGTACGTGACTTCCAAGGAAAAACAAGGGCTTCGTCAGCTTTTGGGGAAAGCTGAGGTGTTCTCTGGTTGTAGTAAGCACAGGCCACATTAAGGGCTTGTGCTCTCCTCATCTTCAGGTCAGTGCACCTGGACCAGACCCTATGCCAGCTGAACCCCAAACCCACTCAGGCTTGGAGAGAGTTGGCTCCCCCTGCCATGTTCACAGATCACAACAGTGCAGAGACAAGTGCTGGGGCTGGGTAGCCTGTATGGGAGGCCTGGCCAGCCCCCTCTGCCCAGCTGTGTCCTCCACTGAGGCAGAGAGGTTCACAGCACCCACTTTACTGGGGGTCTGTGAGGACAAACTGAGTTGAAGCCCAGGAAGGAGTTAGAAGCAGGCGAGGCCCAGAGTCAGCCCCACACGAATATGTTGGGGTCACTGGCATTACTGTTACATGCTCCCACCCCACCATGCCCTGTGGTCGCTAGTTCAGTAAACAGACCCAGAAGGAAGCCTTCCTGCTTCTTTAATTGGTGTAACAGACATGACGCTGTATACAGAGCACACTCGGGCCCAATGATGCGGGGACAGCAGGGGCGGGTGGGGAGAGTCAGGACGCCGCTCACACATGGCCCAGAGACAGACAGCACACGGACAACGGGAGGGGCTGAGACGTGAAGGCTGTGATGGGGCAGGCAGCAGGACTCAAACCGAGCCAGGCAGGGGTAGGGGTCTCTGCTGAATCCCTCTTTAGAAATCAAAGAGAAGGCAGGTGGTGGGGCCTGGGGTGGCAGCGAGGCTTAGGCCTGGGGGCGTGGTGGGAGTGGGACTAAGGCTTCTATTCTAACAGGCCTGGGGGGTGGCAGTCAGCAAGGCCTGCCTCACCCTTTGGTTATGACTGGTCAGGCCTGAGCCCTGCAGCTCAGCACCCAACACTGTAAACATTTTTGGTATCTGTTCGTTTCGGAAAGACTGGTGCTTCCTCCAGAAGAGAATGTGCCGAAAGGAATCTGAAGGGAGGCGGAAAGCAGACCTGGATACAGAAGAGACTTCCTGTGGGGGGCGGGCTGCCCACCTCGCCATCTATGGCTGAGGGCCGCTGGGAGAGCCCCAGGGGACTATTGCTGTTGTCCTTGGCATGGCTGGCGGCTAGGCAGGCAGGCAGGGAGCAAGGAGCCGTGGGGGAGCTGCCCCCTGGGGAGAGGCTGAGCTCACTGCCCACGGCGCCTCCCGGCCTTTATTGCAGGAGGGCCCGAGACTCTTCCAGGTGCTTCTCTGGATGGCTGGTCACCAAGGCAGCAGGCAAGACAGGGTGAGGTGGGGCTGAGAGAGGAGGAGGAGGCACTGGCCACAGGGCCCCTGACCGGGGCTGTGATTGTCGGGCCAAGCAACTTCGGGGGGGTCAGATATTGCACTTTCACTGCAACAGGTACATGAAAACTTGGTCCATAAAATAATCGTTGCTTTATACATAATGCTTGAAACAACAACAAAAAGCTACATCATCTTAAATATGAATAAACCCTGAAGGTTCCATCCCTCCAGACATTTTTCTCTGCACAAAATAAATAGCTTTCACTCTGTATAGACCCACTTTTGCAGAACATTTACACGACCCTTTGGCTGTACATATCTACACGTGGGAAAGAGTTTACAGCACTCTGCACCTCCCCAGCCCCGTCCATGTGGCCCGATGCTGGACCCAGGTCAGCCACAGCTTCTTGGGGACGGACCCTGGTCACTGGACGAAGGCTGAGGCCAGGCAGGCTCTCCCACCTCAGGGAAAGTGGAGGAGCAGCAGAGGGGCCACTGGAGCTGGCTGCTGAGCGCCACAGCTGAGGTCACGCCCAGCGCTGCGGGGAGAGGGCAGGCGGTCAGACCCAGCGTGCAGGACAGCGTGGTCCTTGCTCAGGCGAGAAATGAGGTCGTGGCTGCCTGCCCTGAAGCTGACAAAGCAAGTTGTGGCTTCTTAGATTCGGCATCAAAACGGAATTGGCGTTAAAAAAACCGAAGTGTGTGCCCCACCCACTCCAGAGTAGAAATTCAGTGGGATCGCCAGGGGCCAGTTGAGGCAAGGAGCCCATGCCTCGTTGAGTGGGCAGGGGCAGGGCCCATGGGACCCAGAACCAGGCTGGACTCCGTCACAGTGCTGGGTGTTTTCAATGTGGAGGGGCTGTGCTCGGTACTGAAAGAGTTAAGAAAAGGAAGCAGCCAAGGATTGCTCATTTTAAAAAACCTCATAGAAATCAGATTGAGAAGTAGAAAGGCGTAGAAACGTGGGTGGGTGGCCTTGACTGATGGCAGGGAACAGAAGAGGCAGCCAGGCCTGTCCAGCCCGCGGCCTGAGGCTGGCAACAACACTGGCCTGGGCTCCAGTTGGGGCAGGTGGGCAGAGTCCGGGGAGCAGAAATTAAGATACGGCCTCTCTCCTGCTTGCACGAGGCTCTGCTGCACTGGAGCCTTCAGTGTGGTTGTAGGTCCCGGGTCAGCAGGTACTGAGTTTCATGCATGTCAACGGGTCTGTAGCCATAGGAGGTGGTAATGGGTCTCTGCTCTCAAAATCAGTGCAAAACCAGTGAGGTTGAACAGTTGAGAAACTTGAGTTAACAAGACGCAGGCTGGACCCCTGTTGGAGCTGCTACCAAATGTGAAGGGACCTGGGAGTAAGGGTGGCCAGTGGATGGGGAGGCGGCAGGCTGGGCCTGGGCCCACACCTGGCACCAGGACACTTGGAGATCCACGCAGGACAAAGTATCTGGGAGAGCCTCCCAGGCCAGTCTGAGTGGGGACTCCTGGTCACTCTGCCATCCTGGGGCTGGCTGGTGGTCCCTGCCAGCTTCCGTAACAAGCCGGACCCGTCAGACCCGAGGACGTGAGGCAAGGCTGGGAGCACTGTGTGGCATGGCCCATGTCCTCTGCGAGGCCCTGGGACAAGCTCCCAGGCCCACGTCTGTGTGTGCGCCCAGGCCAGGCCTCCTGGCGGGGCTGGCCGCCCTGGCCTAGCACCATGGAGACCCCGTGCTGCACTCATGGTGCCCTACTTGGGGCCCGTGGCCGATCCCGGCTCCAGGCGGCCAGTTATGGCGCGGCCCCAGCAGCCAGCTGCCACGCTCATGCTGCGCTGGCCCCGCTGCTCGCCATCTGCCTGGCTCTGCGTCCGCTCGTGCCGGTGGCTGGGCCCACTGGGCTGGGCTGAGATGGTGCGGAGCAGGTGGTTCCGGGAGCGCAGGAAGTCACCCTGGCCGGGCAGGCCGAAGCTACCCTTGCGTAGCGCCATGCGGGTGGCCGTGTTGCGGGCGGGCCGAGCCCGGTGGCTGTACTTCAGCTGTGCCAGGTGGGCAGCGTAGCCATCTGTGATGAACTGTGGGGGCAGTGAGGATGGCTGTCACAGGCTGGGGCTCCCTGAGCTTCCCGCCTGTGCCCGCCCCCATGATGTGCCCACTCACCTGGCACTGCTGCTGCAGCTTCTTGGTGGGCCGGCCCACGATGTAGATCTGCATGGGGGACAGGCTGATGGCGCTGTAGACCGCCACGTCCTTGGTGGAGCCGTAGGCCGCATGCACACGCAGGTGCAGCTGTGGGGAGACTGGCATGGGCACAGGCACCACCGCCCCTCTGCCCCCACCACTGCCCTGGTCCCATCCTCCTGGGCCCCACCTCAGAGATGAGCAGCTTCAAAAAGTTGGCCTTGTGCCGCAGCGGGTCGTGGACCAGGCCATCACAGAAGGACACCACACCATGGGGGAAGTTGTGCTGCGCCAACCACGCCACCACTCGCTGCTTCTGCATGTCGGGCCGTCCCGTCACGTAGATGATGAGGTAGCCCAGGTCCTGCCAGTGCCTGAAGGTGAGGGGCAGGCCTGGGTGTCTCACGGCCGCCACTTCCTCCCTCCTGGGCCTCCCTGTCTCCTGCCTAGCCAGGGCCCACTTGGCCATTGGAAAGCACACCTCTGACAGTCACAATGACAATGGTGACAATGATGGTGCCATGGCAGGCCCTTGGGTGCTCGCACCGGGTGGCAGATGCCCCTGCCATGGTGTCTCTGGCTTACCAGCCTCACTTTCCAGAGGTGGGAATTGAAAGCTGACATTGAGAGGTGATATCACTTGCCCAAGGTGACATGGCTAATAATTGGGGGTGCCGGGCTCTGAACTGAGGTCCTCAAGGCCCAGTGCCCTAGCCAAGCGTCTCCTAGAGAGGCTCCCCCGTCCTCCTCCACCTGGCTGGTGGGAGCCCCTGAGCTCACCCACCTTGCTACAGCTCCTTTGTGCCCCTTCAGGCCACTCACCGCACCACATCCACGGCCCCGGCCCGCACCTTGGGGTCGCTGCCCATGATGGACACGCTGGCGGCAAAGGAGCCATCGATGCTGAAGACCACAAACTCCGTGCCCTTGGGCAGCACAGTGATGTAGCTGTCAGCAAACGTGTGGTCTCCCCTGGCAGACGGTGGGGACATTCATCAGAACCACCCAGAGCCCTGTCCTGCCCACCTCGCCCACCCAGCGCAGGCACGTACCTGACTACCATCTTGATGGGATAGACACCCACGCCCAGGCGGTGCGACTCAGGAATGGTGTAGGAGACACGCCCGCTGCTGTTGGTCACCAGCGTGTCCAGGTAGAGCCACTCACCCGAGGGTGGCTGCGTCATGATGTGCACATCCACCTGGGCCCGGCAGGCTGGTCACGGGCTGGCCATGTCCTGGCCTCCCCACCCCTTGCACCCTGGCCAGAGGGCATCAGGGAGCTCCCCAAAGTCCACCTGTGTTCCCCCTACCCATGTCGTTACCTTCTCCCCAGTCAGGGTGACCATGTCCAGGGGCCCGTACATAAACCTGCCCGTCAGGACCTGGGGGCCATCCTCATTGGCAAGGGCGTCATTGATCCGGTGGTTGGCCGTCACGTTCTATGGAGAGAGCAGCAAGCCTGGGTTAGGGTGGGGTCGGAGGGCAGCCCAGGACTCTGTGTCCTGCTCA